TCGTGTATGTGACCGTCGCAGTTTTTATCCTTTTCGACCTTTGTCTTTGATAGCGGGAAAAAAATCCTTCTTGCCTGCTATTTTTGTTTTAAAACTAAATGTTTATAACCAATAACATTTTTAAATGCATTTCCAATACTTTCCATGATTCATTTTGAGAAATCCCCAACTGGGCATCGAGCCTGTTGTAGCACGTATGTCGAAATTATAAATAACAACTGTCATTACTTTATGTTTATTTCAGAATATAATAAATTTGTTGTTTCAAACATACAAAACTCGTTTCCTTTTTCTTTGTTTTCTTTTTCTTTAACGATATTTTATAATCAAAAGATTAACTTGATAACCTGTGGCGCTGTGGAACTATATCGTACATGCACTTAAGTAATACCGTTAAAATGAACACGTGCTTGTTGATTGACCTAAATTGTATTTGTAATAGGATTTGTCCGACGCTAAGGACTACCTTAAATATATTATCATTTCTGAAGAGGTGTAAACAACTTAGTCATGACGTAGTGATGTTTTTTTTTTGGGTTAAGTTAGCTTCTGATTCGTTTTTATTGTTAATATTATCAGAAAAGACGTGGTTGACATCTTGAAAGTTCTTCAAAAGCTCTGAAACAAGATTGCCAGAAAGCGATTTAATTTTGAAACCCCAAAGAACGTTGTGATAATGATAGTATAATTTCATTTAAAATTAATATATAATCAATAACAATTAGTACATTGGTGTGTATACACAAATTATACAAAGTAAATATTATCACGAAATATTCATTAAAAGTCTCTTGAAAAGAAGATATACTCACATGGCACATACATGTACATAAGAAGTAGTCAGCCTATTCCCTTGTACAGTTTTTAATCCGGGACCGAAAATTAAGTCCCGAAAGAAGACGTAGTGGTACATACGCTACCCACTGATTGTACTAAGACAGTAAAATCTTTATTAATGACTTTGATGGCAATATTAACGGTATCGACATGTGAGTTTCTTGGAAGTAGAGGATACTTACAAGTACAGTCGGATTCAACTCAGATCTAGATACGAATAAATATCGGGGATCTCGATTGAATTAAACTGAACACACGTGTAGGCCTACCATTTGTACTAGATTACAAGTCGAGTCCAATAGCAAATTACACAGACCTAGATCTGCCGTCACATAATGCGCCGGTTGGACTGGGTCTGTACATTTTCGTTCGGTAGAACAAATACGTATGACCTGTAAAAAAATTGCACAAAAACCCAACAGAAATTGGCACGTTTTACATTGCGAAAAATTTCATGTTTTTACATTTACGTTTTTATATTGCGAAAAATTTTACATTTTTTTACAATGCGAAAAAATATAACAGGAAAAGTTTCAAGAAAATAGTCACAGGGAAACAGTCGCAATAACCTTTGGATGAGATCAAATAAAACTAGTCTCTCCGAACATTGCCATCAATGCATTGTCTTTCTAGTAGCAAGATTAGTGTATATAAAAACCCAGGAAACAAAATTTTAAATTTCAAAACGATAATTGAATATACGAATGATATCCAATGTCAGATGGAATCGCGACTAATGATATAACAAGCGGTTAATATATATATATATATATATATATATATATATATATATATATATATATATATATATATATATATATATATATATATATATATATATATATATATATATATATATATCAGACAGAGCGGAAAGTGTTATCCCTGAATTCAACATAATACGTGATAGTAAAGAATTAAATTGCAGAATATAGAGAAAGAATATTATCATAAATGTTAGATAATATTTTTCATTCGTTCCCAGTTGAGACTCAAAACCAGGTGTGTATTACGGCTAGAATCGCCATGCCAGCACGCACCAATCCATATAGCCCCACAACCATGCACACACATCCCAACCCCAACCCCAAATAGGATGCAACATGGTAGCTGGTATACCAGGATTCCCCTGACATAAATCAAAGAATATAGAACGTAATATAGATTTGTAAAAATATGCACCATATGTGAACTCTGTTCATGGATTTCCTTCTTTTTTTGTATTACTCGGAACGTTAATTTAGATCAAACATTGATTCATATATTTTTCTTGTAATCACTATATTAGCGAGGACACAACCATTAACACACGGCTACTCAATATACACGAGTGCTGGATAAAATGGATATACCCTTAGGAGATTTTAATTTGCCCAAAACATTAAAAGCCTATGCCTATAATCAAACATCTAGTGTACGTATTAAATTAGTACAACCGTATTCATAATCAGAGATTTTTAAGTGACTTCTTCCCTGTAGCGTCTTTTGTTATTACGTTTTACGTAGATTCATATTGGGTACTGTAACTTTTCTTCCTGGATTAAGTATTATGGGGAACGATATCAAACACATTTCTTGTAAATAATCAGTAAAAGGTATTAGCTTTCCTCGCCATTAACGTTCATTATGTCTATAAATGATCTTTATTTGGATACGGTATAGCTTGAAAGTGATCTCTGACACCGCGCATAACAGTTCTTCTAACATCTTGCATAACAGTTCGTCTGACGCGGCCTTGCGTAACAATTCGTCTGACACGGCCTTGCGTAACAGTTCGTCTGACGCGGCCTTGCCTAACAGTTCGTGTGACGCGGCCTTGCATAACAGTTCGTCTGATACGGTCGTGCTTAACAGTTCGTAACTACTGTCGAAAGAAACTTGCACGTTGCTATTGTAAAACTCGAAATGGTGTAAACATAATGGAATGTTCATTAATTTAGACAAAACCAAAGCCAAGCCGATAACCACTTAACAGAGATGAATTCTCCACATCTATTATAATGACGTGTAACTGAAGCATGTTAAGAAAGATAAACTTTTTGACTATCAAGTTGAAAACTGCTTTATGGTTAGGCCTAGACCAACAAGCAGGTCTCTGCTTTTTTTTTTATATCTGACAGCAGCATATATTTGCTGCTGTCAGATTTTTTTTAAAAAAGCAGAGACCTACTTGTTGGTCTAGGTTAGGCCTGATAGTAATGTTACCAGAAAGATGGCTGAGAATGTATAGTTGCTACAAAAAATAAATAAATAAATAAACCACCTGGATGATGTTTTACAAAAGTTATGTTCGTCCTGATCTGGAGGACTACTTAAACAACATAGGGGGTAATGCTTATAAAACTAATTTTGTTAGATGTGGAAAGACTTTAGAATCGAGCCATCAGAATTATAAAGGACAAAAAAGTTGATAATTTCACGAAAGAATGAAGGATAAAATAATGACATTATTATTATTATTATTATTATTATTATTATTATTATTATTATTATTATTATTATTATTATTATTAAAACTCGAAGATTCCACTACGTTTAATTGTTTGGTTATAAGAAAAATAAATAAATGAAAAACATAAATGGAAAGGAAGGGAGTAGACGTAGGTCACGTAATGTTTTTAAGGCATTAATAGTTTGTCAGTGTTTGAGTATTTGTGGAATTTTGCTTTAGTAAGACGACTTTTTTCTGTATAGGAAAGGTAGTCACTGTTGTAAAAGTCATGCATGCGCATTTATTCATCCTAAATATAAATTGTTGTTTGAAATATAATTACTAATTATAAGTAACTTTAGTCTGATCAGTCCTTCTATTGTGACATCACTGCGCGCGACATTCAAACCGGATTGTACTGGATCACACTTATAGGTTGATCTTGTTCACAAATGTCCGCGTACTTTAACACTGAGGCGTGTAAAAAAAAAAACGAACTTCCAAATGAATATGGATGTATGGGGTCCGAATAAAGTAAATAGTTGCCATATAAAGGTATGTAAAGTCAACTTCTACAAAATTACACCATTACTGAAATAATCTGTGTTTAACGCCTATGAATTTTATTATAGATGGGTAGGGATGTAATATTATAATTCGTGGGAAAAAAATTTAAAATGCCATTCAGATTTTTTTAATATGGGACATTGCTTGAATGCAAATGTCCGGTCGGTCATCTTTAAATGACTGTAAATATGTAGTTACAAAGTAATTCCCCCCCTCCTCCAAAAAGCGTTGTAATGTCACATTTTCACAAATCAAGGTCGCGTTTCCTAAACCACGGAATAACTCAATATTTTAATTCCAAATACTTTATCAATTTTTTTTTTTTTATAAACGTAGTTAATTTTGAATGTGTATATGTTTATATCTATTTGCTAAATTCTTTAAATTAATTGCTTAAAATAAAATGAAAACTTGTTTTTCTTGTTTTTTATGTATTTTTTGTAAACCCAGTCCGGGGCCCCGAGTGGCCGAGTGGTCTAAAGTGCTGTCCGTTACGGATCACTGCCATCTCACCTCTGTCTGCGTGGGTTCGAGTCTAGGATTCGGCGAATGTGGATATGTGAGAAAGCTTGCCAGTAGCTTCTCGTGGGTCGGTGGTTCTTTCCGGTGATTTCCCAGTTTCTTCCTCCACCATTAATACTGGCCGCCATGAATAGCCTATCGTGTGCTAAAAAATGGCGTTAAGCCTAACAACAACAACAACAACAACAACAACAAAACCCGGTCCGATGTAAGATAACGAAGGAAATTATATGGGTTGTAAATATCGTTTCACGTATTAAACACAGCGAATATGATGCGGCCTTGCCCTTGGGAAAGCGTCCTTGAATATGGAAATGTAGATCGAATCACCCTTGCTTCCACCATGTATGCAATACTTTTAAGGAAAAATCTATAGGACATACATATCTATCAGCTAAACAAAGGTACAAATAAACATGTAAACACATGTATGCAAACATATAAATACCAATACGTTGTGTTTTGTGGGTTTTTTTATTTATAAAGACGCTTTAAGCATTTTTAGTCCTATCGCTCTAGCACAGCCGCAGACATATAGCATCATATCTCATGTTGTCACATTATCCTGTCATCAGGCGGACACTAACCTCCTAATGCTGAGCACCAAGCAAGTTAGCTGTTAGTACAATTTTTTTCTTTTCTATGACTTTGGGAGGGGTTCGAACCCGCGACCTCCTGCAATCCGAGGCAGACGCTCTGACTACTTAGGCCACCGGAACTATGCTCCATCCAACTAGTTAGACCACCGGAGCGTTAAGTACATATCGGTACACGTGTATATGTAATTATAGATATACAAATATTAACACAAAACCAAGTAAGGATGCGACAGTAAAGTTGGAAAAGATACTTCTGTTGTGTCTGTAGTTAAACAGATTGGTGTAATTAATTGCAAAATACATCTACATCGTCAGGGGAATCCATGTAACTGGGATGGAGACGGACGGGGAAAGCATCATTGCAGATAGACATGTATACCTTACGTATACATTATACATCAACACATACTTTACAATGGATAGCATTGCAAAATGAGACAAGTTTTGATTTGTTTTATAGTTGCTTTCTTATGTCAACATTTTTCTCTTTTTGCGGTTTGTGAATGTAGACTACTTGGATGAAAGAAAATAAAGTTTCAGTCCTTTATTTAAATTAGACATACGGGATTGTTTATTATCATATCTGCATTCATAGTTATTTTTTTCACTTGTAATTATTTATATTACATCGTCAACGTTTCATTATTAATCACATCGTCAACGTTTCATTCATTTATTACAACTAGGAGGAATTGTTACTCTGATATCTAATAGATTGTAATTGCTCTTAAAACACTCAAAACCAGGTCGAGATTGATTGTCTTTGATTAAGTGGCTAGTTTTAGAACTCTCCCAAATGTTCCCTCTCTATATCCTATTGAGGAAAATATAGTTAAATGCCTTACTAGAGGATACCTTGAAGCAGCCGATCTGGGTTTGCCTTGATGAGTATTGAACCCTTTACCGCTGGATTATTACCCTGACATTGTACAAGCTCAGCTAACGTGGCTACCATGATAAATGTTGAACAATGTGTGGTTCGTTTTGGTGTAGTATTTTTACTTTAAAGGGTTATTCTCCTTCCCCAAGTTTTTGAACCCGCCGATGGACGGACGGACAGACAGATAGGTTTGAATAGATAGATAGATAGATAGATAGATAGATAGATAGATAGATAGATAGATAGATAGATAGATAGATAGATAGATAGATAGATAGAAAGCACGAGGTAATTAGGTAATTGCGACAAAACAAAAAAGCCGGTACAAACATCATGTAAAATCGAAATTCAAAAGCTGCAAACACGTGTTTTTTTTCTTTTTTTTTTTTTGTCATTACACTCACATTCGAGTCATGATGCAGCTTTAATATGGAGCTCTCAAAGGTTTAAAAAGTCTATGACAACACAAAACAAACATCACGTGAATAGGTCAACACTATTTTGTCATTGATACATGAGTCACGTGGAATGACTGTCATGTATCTAGTCATTCTCCTATCTCCAAATCAGCGGCATAGGTGATACCAGCGTTAGTTCTCATATTTAAACCGATGAAGTCATACTTTATTTTTATCGTAAGATTTTAATGCGCGTTTGATCATTGAACTTTCTTAAGTGTACACTGTTTCCATGTTTTCAAAGAGAACATCTGATATCACATTGTGGTTGTAACTAATACAGTAACAACAATGTAATAATCGTACCTAAAACGAGCAAATGTATTTAATTCACAGCCAACAGAACAAGAAATTTTACCTTTAAGTTTCCAACGCTTCAAGAAAATAATGAAGAAAGTCCAAAGACATTTAGTTTTTGATTATGACCTTCACATGTTGTTGTAGAGTTGAACCACCTACCCACCCACCCACCACCACATCAGTGCTCACTGTGGTTTGAACAGATGACAATTTTGGTTGACCGCTCCGGTGGCCTAAGTGATTAGAGCGTCCGTTTGGGATGCGGGAGGTAGCGGGTTCGAACTCCGGTCGAATCATAACAAAGACATATTATAATATGGTATTAGCAGCTGCCTCGCTTGGCGGTCAGCATTAACAGATTAGTGTTAGGACTAGTTGACCTGGTGTCAGGATAACATGACTGGGTGGGACATGATATTACATGTCTGCCGCATGATCCACTAGTGCTAGACATCAGTATAAGCTGCCACACTGCAGACATGGTAGCGATATGACTGGAGAATCGTTAAAGCTACGTTAAAAATCCAAATCGCACACGCACGAATGCACAGCTTTGTTGTGATGCAATTTGTGGATGAGCTATCATGTATATTGATATGATTTGTTTCAAAGTAAAAGCTATTTTGGATTGCATCATTATGGTGAAGTTTTACAAACAAGCAACAAAATGTTCACTTAATGGTGACAGGTAAATAAATATCCATTTTATCTATTTGTGATTACATAATCTTCACAAGGTACTCCTATTAATTTTACCGTATACCTACATTAATAGTGCAACAAATGAAGCTGCAAGAGGGCACAGTAATATGTTTTATATTTGCCCTTTGAAATGTATTGATGTGACTTGGAATTTCGCTGTCATTTATTTGTCAGACTATGCGAACACAAATATGGGTCTTCTAATCTAAAAAGGAGTTATCTTATAGTAGAAAAAGTATTTTTGAGAAAGCGTCTAACACTAAATAATTTTCCTATTAAAGATACTTAACTTGCTTTTTTATGTTGAGAAAATCATTCTATAGCATTAAAGAAAATATGTTCTAATATGAAAAAAAAAACTTTAAAAATATGCGGAGAATATTTTATATTGTGATATCAGAACAGGACTTTGTTGAAGAATCAGAGCGATTATTATTATTATTATTATTATTATTATTATTATTATTATTATTATTAAATACCTATATTATAATACTGACAACTCTATAACTTACAAAAATAACATTAACTTAACTTTATATTATTAGAAAATGCGCAATTTTGTCAACAACGGCTGTACCATTTTATGATTTTATATTTAAACAGATGGGAACGGAATCTTTACATGCATAAAAAATGCACCCAAAGGGTATTTTACTCATTTTATAATTTATGTATTGTACTTTTATTTCTTTGTTCGTATTGTATTTCTTGGTGTGTATTATATTTACATTTGTATTTTTTTGTATTATATTGTATCTGTATTTCTTTGTATTGTATTTATACTTTTTGTGTGTATTGTATTTGTATTTCTTTGTGTGTATTGCCTTTATAATTTTTTTGTGTAGTACATTTGTATTTCTTTGTGTGTATTGCCTTTATAATTCTTTTTGTGTAGTACATTTGTATTTCTTTGTATGCATTGTATTTGTATTTCTTTGTGTGTATTGCCTTTATAATTCTTTTTGTGTAGTACATTTGTATTTCTTTGTATGCATTGTATTTGTATTTCTTTGCAGTATTCTTCAGTAAAGTTCTGTTCAGTTGTACTTTGAGGCAAAATATATTCATCAACAATTTAAGTGGGTATGTGGATGATGCCTAATTAATCAAAGAGAGAACCGCAACTAATTACAATGTGCATGGTTCTCATCTTGTCCCATGTATGGAATTTATGATTTGTCAGTGTTCGTTCTTTTCAGTGTCCGAATTGGTTGATGCATACCCGAATTTCCAAGGAATAAACAATTACCATAACACTTCATTCAGTAGACAAGTGATAAAAACCTATTTACTGGAATAATTTGCTGATTGGTGTAAGTAATAGCTTCAATCAACTTTGATTGTTTTTCAGATATATACATTTTTTGTAGCTTTTAGGTATTAACGGTATCCCGGGGTATTTTTTCCGGGAGGTACGTACCACGTACTTACGTACATTTTCACTGTACCAGTATGTTGACAGTTTCTATTAGTAAGGAATGTATGAAACTTAACGATGAATTGTGTTACGCCTTGCATCGTGTTTTAATTATTCGTGAGAAAGTAGTTTTTAAAAAAATCTATTTGTTTACAAAAGGTTTATATCTATGACAAATTAATGGCGAATATTACAAATATGATTATATTTATGATTCTTTAATCAAGTTTGTATGCCATCGCAGTGTGCAATTGGAACGTTGTAAAATATTGGGCCAAATCCAGCTTTCGAAATAATTTCGGATTAAAAAAAATATAAAAAAGAAACAAAACTACGTCATATTTCGGTTATTTACTGGCGTATGTGAATGTGCTACGTGTAAGTATTTCTCTGTAAGAATATGAATGGTTATGAGATTTTGAGAACTTTTTTTGCCTAAACTTTACTTAATTTCTCAAAGACATAAAATATTATCTCGTTTGTTCAGTAAGTGAGCTTCATGTTTACTGGCTTGGACAATATCTTCCCGGGTGTTGTCACTCCTCTCAGAGATTCCCTACCTAGTATATCAGTAGTAAATATAGAAAATTATAGACTCCAATATCAAAACTTCCTACTTTTAAACACAGATTTTCAAAAGTTATCACGATGTCTCTCAAAGTATCAGCTGTAGTTTATGCTTAATCGCCCCACTTTACTTACAGCTTTTATACTGTAACTTATGCAAACAATAGGTGCACATGGGCGATCGCACATAAGGGCATAGGGTCATTCCCACCCCTTTCCTGGCTACCTGATTTCACCTTCAAACATGTTATGGCCTACATCAATAAGATGTAACGCTGACCACTACATTTTTGCACACACACACCATCAATAAGATGTAACGCTGACCACTACATTTTGCACACACACACACACCATCAATAAGATGTAACGCTGACCACATTTTGCACACACACACACACACACACACACACACACACACACACACACACACCGGAATTTTTTTGGGTTCCCATGCATACGCATAGCAAATTCATCTAATCTGAGGCACTGGCCATTTCATTTTTGGGAAGGACAATGCGATTTTCTTTTGAGCTGAAATATTTTCTTTTCTCTTATCTCAAGATTTTTTCCCAGTTAATGACCGACGGAAATTTAAAAAAAAAAAGACGAGGTCAGGTCCCTGACCCAGAAAATTTAATCATTGATCTTTAGCCTAAACGCCGTTTACCTTTGCATGTATTGCGGTACAATCCGAATTGCCGCGGTACGAACTTTGTATTGTTACCCATTTCTAATATATAATGAAAAAAGTTTATTTTTAAAAAAGGGTGAAACAGCCTTTAAAGATGGG